TGATATGTATGAAAGTGGATCGATAAGAAAGTGATCCAGTGTTGTTGTTGTTGGGCTTAACGCCATTTTTCAGCACACGATAGGCTATTCATGGCGGCCAGTATTAATGGTGGATGAAAAAACCGGGAAATCACCGGAAAGAACCACCGACCCACGAGAAGCTACTGGCAAGCTTTCTCGCATATCCACATTCGCCGAATCCTACACTCGAACCCACGGGGACAGAGGCAGTGATCCGTAACGAATAGCGCTTTAGTCCACTCGGCCACTCGGGGCCCCGGGATCCAGTGAAACTGCAGAGTTCCAGTTCGTATATTGAATAAACTGTAGAGTCACCGTTTATCAAGTGAATTCCAGTTGACAGTGATGCGTGTTCATCTATTTGTGTATTTAGTTGAACGCAGTATTGTCTAGTAGAAACAATAGTAATAACATTATAAGTATTGCTCATTTGCCTTTGTCTGATTTATCTCGAGAGATTTCGTGAATCTCAAAGATTAATGCGTACAAGAGATTAAGTGAATCTCATTTTTTATTTTTTATAATACATGGTATATTTGTTTTAGGCTAGAGGACAATGAATCATATTTTTGTAATTTATTTTCTTTATCATTTCATGAGTGTATGTAGGATAAATTGCATCAATTGTATGATAGGAGTGTGAGAATCAGTGTATTTGTTTTATATTCACATACACACACATACATACATACATACACACACACACACACACACACACATATATATATATATATATATATATATATATATATATATATATATATATATATATATATATATATATATATATATATATATATATATATATATATATATATATTCCAATCATTCATCGTTTTGTGTTTGTTGTTATTCATTTAGTCCAAACAGAGAAATCCCACTCGGTTTCAATTCTTTTACAATGCTGTTATTTTATGGTTCCTTACGTCTTCTATAACCTTAACCACCAAGATCACATTATTTATTATTTTTTTGCATTTAATTTACTATTTATGCTTTATATGTGGATCCAATGACGCTTCATAAGCTTCAAGAAGACCAAGTGCAAACAATACCGAACCAAGTAGGTTTGGTAAAAACGTTTTGACGAACGAAATATCACGCCGGCAATGAAACCATCAGAAGTTCTAGAACCACTTTATTTATTTTATAATCTTCCTATTTACTCTTGGCTTCGGTATTCTGCTTTAAAGTGCTTTAGAGGATGTCATAAATCATTTTAGGCTGGTCGATTAGGTTTATTTTTGCACTATACACATCAAGCATCATGCACCGATATCGGGTCTACAATGCGTACCTCAAATCATCTGCACCAGGATTACCAATATTCCATTACGAGTTTTTGAGATGCTCGAAATGTCTGGATATGGAAAATTGACGCAACGACTAGAAATGATGCAAAGACATCTGCGTGCCAATCTCTGTACTGGTATTTTGCATCACACTGACGGATATCATTTACGGACGTGAGAGTAAATTCCTGTAGCAGCAGGAAAATGACACAAGTTCTTGTTCTGGATATTGTATAGACGTGAGATGAACGTGACTGTGAGATAAACTCATATTATCGAAAATGTGAAAATATGTTTGATTATAGTCTAATTTTAACACCATGTTTTTAAATAAAATTCCACGCCTTAGATACAATGTAACAATAATTAACTTTTATGCTTGCTACCAAGGTCTGTAGACACTCTTCATGATGTTGTTTGCTGACAATGGGCAAACTGCTGAGTGTTATTTAAGTTTTGCTCTAAATGTATAGTTTTTTGGTCAATCTGGCGGCGTGGATGCTAAGTCAAATATGTGAGCAGATCAAGGTGTAACTTAGGGAATCCTTAATGTATGACACACATTGCTAAACTGACCATCTGCTACAGCACCAGCTCCGCCTTTCTGGTACATGTACTTTGCAGGAGAATCACTCTCGTCCAACACTCGTCAAAACACTGTTCGTACAACACACCATATACCAAATATATTGCTAATAGTAACCATCATGAAAATCTCATGATTAAAATGGGTGGGATTGTACCGTGAGGCAAACTCCACATTGTCCATACTTTCACGCGCCAAAGCTGCTTTAGCGGCAGTAAGATTAGCACGATTAGCGACAGCATTCGCTTCATGCCATCTTGGAGAATTAAATCCTAGAAATACCTATTTTAATGCAGGGAATGTCTTGATGGGAGTCTCGAATCAGCATTGATTATGCATGTATACATACTATGAGATTCAAAAAGAAATTTGTGTCTTTTTAAATATCTTCCTTACATTATTTTTCAAGACGAGTAGTAAAAGGTTTAAAACTTTTTCTTACAAACGGTTACAGCTGAGAAATGTTTAAAATAAACTTTATGCTGGATTAAACGTAGTGTCATTCAATAAGTGGTACAAATGGTACAACAACAACTTTGAAATTTACTTTTGTTACGTTACGGATCACTGCCATCTCACCTCTGTCTGCTTGGGTTCGAGTCTAGGATTTAGCGAATGTGGATATGTGAGAAAGCTTGCCAGTAGCTTCTAGTGGGTCGGTGGTTCTTTCCGGTGATTTCCCGGTTTCTTCCTCCACCATTAATATTGGCCGCCATGAATAGCCTACCGTGTGCTGAAAAATGACGTTAAGCCCAACAACAACAAAAACAAATACACATTTTAGGAACTAATTATGTATTGACAACTGGATGATGACCTCAGCCTCAAGATGGGAGATGCCTTCAACAACTGCTATCATGTGTATCAGTACATTTAAGTCGATTAAGAAATACAAGCTGCCTTAACATATTTTATCAAACTTGAAGGTGATCTAGGTGTGTAAGTACTGTATTCAATACCTATTAATATTCATGTATGGTTAGGACCCTTGAACTGAAAATCAGTAACAGGAAAGAATGAAAACGAATGGTTCTTTAATATAAATTAAAAAAAATGTTTACCTAGATAACAAAGTGTGTGTGTGTGTGTGTGTGTGTGTGTGTGTGTGTGTGTGTGTGTGATTTTAATCTTAAAGATTTTCTTAACACTGTTTCAATCATATCACTTCAATGTTTGCAGTGTGGCAGTAAATAATGTTTAAAAGTGGGGTCTTAACCACTTAGGCCGCCAGAATGTTCAAAGTGAATATGTAGTATTGCGATATAAATTGCAATTAGTCCAAACAGTTATATCACAGGTAAAAAAAACAACAGAGTATACCAAATAAATTCCTATGGTTTTCTTGATGAATCACAATGATGTAATCCAAACTGTCTGTTTTTGGATTCGTTTGTGCATTTACATTAATAAATTTGCATGCATTCCTTGGTGAGTTTTAGCTTCATATTTCCCTCTTTGTTTCAGAATTATGATGCGATTCTTTATACATCTTATATATTTGGTTTATTTCTATCGCATTTTATTACGAATTATTATAATGTAAATCTAGTTTCAGTTTTAGACATGATACATACTACGTGTGTCGTCATCAAATATATAAATTCAATGTTTTCATTAATTTATTGTTAAATTATTATGAGTTTTGTGTTTCAGCATACACAGTAAATAAATTAATTAGCTTCCAGTACATTGTATATACTACATCTGGAAAAGATAATAATAATATATGATTTACCTGCAATTAACACGCATGAAGGTGCTATATCATCGTATAGCACATTTAGTCTAGCTAACAAGGAATAGTCTGTATTGATGTAAAAGCACATCAATCCAAGATGTGAAATACACTGGTAAGAGTGTTAAACAAGGACCACAATGACATTCCTTTATACAAATATTTTTTGGATTTACTTTAAAAGGTTAGTTTGTAAACATTTTTATGTACAAAATGCTGAAAGTACTGATATGATGTGCGGGATGGATATTTCTCATAACAAGTTTTAAAGGCGTTATTTAGTCATAACTATTGTACAGGAATGTATACTGTCACCTACACTCTTCAACTTTTTCCTGGAAAGTATCATGGAGGCTGCTTTGCATGACCAGCATTGGAGAAAGAACAACCACGAAGCTTCGCTTCTCAGATGATATTGCGATATTGTTGAGCAAGAGATGTAAAGGAAATGGCTGACTTGGTTGTGCGCCTTGACTCAGCTTATACTGCATATGGTATGGACACTAGCGCCAAACAAACCTAATGGCAACACCTGAAGCATCAGTGCAGAAATAAAGATTACTGGACAAAAGCTGGAAAGAGTCAAAAGATTCAAGTACTTGTGATCAATTATCACAGATGAGAGCTCCAAACTTCAACTACTTTGCAGGATTGCCAATATTAGGTTGAGACCAATATGGAAAGATACCAACATTGCTTTTGGTTCCAAATAAGGCTGCCGCTCTTGATTGTCATGTCCATCTTTCAGTATGCTAGTGAAACATGGACCCTTTACAAAGAAGGACTTAAACCTTAGAAATGAGATACTACAGTAAGATCTTTGGCATCTCAAACACTGACCATATAACCAACGAAGAAGTCCACAATGGGATCCAAAAAGTCATCGAATCCTATGAAGACCTCTTAACCACTGTAAAAATAATAAACTGAAGCGGTACGGTCATTTGTGAAGAACAGCTAGACTGGCAAAAACAATCTTGCAAGGAACAGCGTGAGGGTGAAGAAGAAGAGGCAGACAGAAAAAGAGATGGAAAGACAACAATAAGGAGTGAACAAGCATGTAATTTGGAGATTTCCAAAAAGGTAGTACAGAACAGGGAAAGATGAAAATAAGTGTGTGTGTGTGTGTGTGTTTGTGTGTGATTTAGTTTTTTAACGTAGCTTTAAACAATTTTTCAGTCATCTATACGATGTCTACGATGTGAGAGTTATTTTTAGTAATGTTTTGCACTGGGGCTTCATGCCGCAAACATGTAGCATGCTGTCCAAACAAGTCACATTATCCTAACACTTGGTTGAGCTGACACTAACCTGATAATTCCGAATACAAAGAGAGGCGTCTGTTAGTAGCACTTTTAAAAGTCTTCGCTTGACTCGGCGTGGTTTGAACCCGAGACCTTCCACATCTGAGGCGGACGTTCTACCACTAGGCCAAAGGAGCGGTCAAAATTGGATGTAGAGTCAATTATGGTGCCCCAAACACGATGATGAATATGATGGCGATGATAATAAAGACGACAATGATGATGATGTTGATGAATGTGGAGACGACAATGATGATGATGACGAAGACGACAATGATGGTGATGATTACGATTATGGCAAAGATGATGACGATGACAAAGTGATGACAATGACCAAGACGATGAGGACAATGAACATGATAATGACAAGGACGATGACCATGGCGAGGAAAATGACGACGAGGATGAGGAAAGCCCAAGATGATTATGATGAACAAACGTTTGTGATGACGATTTCGACGACGATAACGATAAGGACCATAACGATGATGACGATGACGTTGTCAACGATGTTGTTGATGATGATGATGAAAAAGAGGAGTAGGATATTTCCAAGATTTAATTTCACCACTCTCCTTAAATTAATTTGAACACACTGGCAAAATCCATCCTAATTATTTTGTCTTTTAATAATGCTAACTTAGCCGATAAATAGTTTCAGAAACCTGATACTTCTTTAGGTATCCTATCTAATATATAATATACATCATTGTCAAAAACCATTGTCGTGCTTTTTTACTCACTCACTCACTCACTCACTCACTCACTCACTCACTCACTCACTCACTCACTCACTCACTCACTCACTTACTTACTTACTTACTTACTTACTTACTTACTTACTTACTTACTTACTTTCAGCTTCACACGCGTGCCAAAATTCCGCCACGTATGTCAAATTATACAAACCCGCCGCTCAGTTTCTTTATATCTATTAACACTTGATAAGGTCACGCAATTTCTTGAGAAAGAGCGAAACAACTTTGCACTCCGAATTGTTGCATTATTCCAAGTTGGAGCACAGTATCTCTTTGTGACATCAGTTAAATTAGACGTGAAAGACTTAGCACAAAACTAAACCAACATATTGCTAGATTCTGGAAGAAAAAAAGAAACATTTAAGTGCGAGGTGTGATAAAATGTTTGCTCAGAATAGAACTTTAAAACAGCACTTGAGGATTCATACTGGAGAAAAACTATTTAAGTGTGAAATATGTGATGAAAGTTTTGCTCAGAATAGAAAATTAAAACTGCACAAGAGAATTCATACTGGAGAAAAAACATTTAAGTGTAAAGTATGTGATGCAAGCTTTGCTAGAAATGGACTTTTAAAACAGCACATGATGATTCATACTGGAGAAAAACCATTTAAGTGTGATGTATGTAACAAAAGCTTTACTCGGAATAGATATTTAAAACAGCACTTAATGATACATACTGGAGAAAAACCATTTAAGTGTAATGTATGTAATAAAAGTTTTACTCGGAATGGATATTTAAATGAGCACATGAGGATTCATACTGGAGAAAAACTATTTAAGTGTCAAACTTGTGATGCAAGCTTTGCTATGAATAGACATTTAAAACAGCACATGATGATTCATACTGGAGAACAACCATTTAAGTGTAATGTATGTGACAAAAGCTTTACTCGGAATGGATATTTAAAACAGCACATAAGGATTCACACTGGAGAAAAACCATTTAAGTGTGATGTATGTGACAAAAGCTTTACTGATATTGGATATTTTAAACAGCACATTAGAATTCACACTACAGAAAAGCAATTTAAGTGTGATGTATGTGATAAAAGCTTTGCTCAGATTGGATATTTAAAACGGCACATGAAGATTCATACTGGAGAAAAACCATTTAAGTGTGATGTATGTGACAAAAACTTTAGTTGGCATGGATCTTTAAAACAGCACATGACGATGCATACTGGAGAAAAACCATTTAAGTGTGAAATATGTAATGAAAGCTTTACTCGGAATGGATCTTTAAAGGAGCATGTGAGGATTCATACTGGAGAAAAACCATTTAAGTGTGATGTATGTGATAAATGCTTTGCTCAGATTAGATCTTTAAAAGAGCACACGAGGATTCACACTGCAGAAAAGCCATTTAAGTGTGATGTATGTGATAAAAGCTTTGCTCAGATTGGTTATTTAAAACGGCACATGAAGATTCATACTGGAGAAAAACCATTTAAGTGTGAAATATGTAATGAAAGCTTTGCTCGGAATGGATCTTTAAAGGAGCATGTGAGGATTCATACTGGAGAAAAACCATTTAAGTGTGATGTATGTGACAAAAAGCTTTACTCAGGTTGGACTTTTAAAACAGTACATTAGTATTCACTCTGCAGAGAAGCCATTTAAGTTTGATGTATGTGAAGCAAGTTTTGCTCCGAATGGATATTTAAAATGGCACATGAAGATTCATACTGGAGAAAAACCATTTAAGTGTGATGTATGCGACAAAAATTTTACTCGGGCTAGATCTTTAAAAGAGCACATGACGATTCATACTTTAGAAAAACAATCTAAGTGTGATGTATGTGATTAAAAATTTGCTCAGATTGGATCTTTAAAAAGCACATAATCAGGTGTAACGCAACCAGGTGAAGTGGGCGAAAAAGTCGCCTGAGAACTTCAAACTTCGCCTTCTTTTGTTAAGAAAGCGAAAATGACTTAACTCTTCGTTGTTTCGGACGTAAAATGGCTGTAGATTATAACTTTTGAGATTGAGATGCCTCCTTGCTGTAGCCAGTAAGTTCAGTAAGGTGTACCACGGGCTAAATAACGTCATGAAATTAATTTTACAAGATAAAATGTTTAACTTGTTTTTTATTGCAACATTTTATAATTTTTGTATCAATTTCCATAATAGAAATGTGTAGTTAAAGTTCTGATAGTACAAAAAACGGTTGATGACGTCATCATATTCAAAACTCGCATTATTAAATTTCCCTAGTATTAAAAGAAAACAGATTCTGCGCCGTGTTCAGAACGATTATTAGACCCTACCGCATATTTACTACAGAATAGAAGCTAGTACAAATGGGCTACTTCCCCGCATGGTTCACATTCCAGTGTATGTGACCGTAATGGTGAAAATAAAGGTTAATTCGCCGGATTGCATTCATGCAATGGTCGTCCGAGAGTGATGAGAAGGTACGCTACTGTTTTTTTTTTTAATGGATATGTGTAGTTTTTCAGTCTTCGTGCGATTCTAAAGGGATAAAAGACGCGTGAGAAAATTCGAATCGAGCGGAGGGTTGTGGTTACTCTTGCATTCCTTTATTTATTGTATAATACCGTTTTGGTGATTTCATGTAGTCAAAAATTTCGACGTGCATAATTGATAAAACTGCAGACTCCTGTGATTAAACTAGGTAGAAATATTGCATTAAGGTATTCCATTGACACACAATAAATGTGGTTTGTAATAAATCTTCAGAATGGCTTATATGAAAATATTACAATGGTTGCAGAGACTGTAGAAAAAAAAAGAAAGAGCAAATGATAAAACATTTATCTAGCATATGTTTTAGAAGTATTATTAGGAAATTTATTGTTGTGTATACTATATACCCTGTAAGCATCAATCATGGTTACATATGGTAAACAAATAGAAGTCCTGGTGATGAATAAACATAACTGGCAGCAGTCAATAAACTCTTTGCTTAAACCGACCGACACAATATCAAATACAAAGGTTATTTTATTACAAAGCAAGCCAACCCTGGACACTCACAGTGTAATCTTTTCAATGTGCCGATTTTTAAAATGAAATCGGCCGACATAACGAAGCCAACTTTGGTTCCTTTGTATTCTTTTAAATATGCCTATTGTTTTTACAAAGTCGGCCGTCGTTCGTAAGCATGTGCTTGACAGGCATCATTTGTTTATCGTTTTCACCACAATGATGTCCTCTTTTCAATTAAGTGTATATTCTTTTTAAAATTGTAATTTTCACGATTATTTTCACGTGGTCACCTATATTAAAATTAGATGTAAATGATATGGTGTATATTACCTACTGCGTCCAGTCTAATGCAGATGTTTCTGATGGAGTCATTTTAATGCTGCGATGCCTAGCATGATTACACTGGTCCATGTTCTCTGGTAAAAATTGTGCTGATATTAACATTGGTAAATCTCTATTCTTCACGCATTGTTTTAGCGTTCTGTTAAATTCCTCCACCATGGGAGACTTAATCTGATTCTGTCTGCTGTACTGGTCAGTATTATATTTTTGAAGCCAGTCTTAAACTTTGTTATAATCTTCACTACTATCATCTACCCATAATATATTTGATTTGCGTGCAACTACCACTGTATAAACACCTCAAAAATATACTTTCCCTTTCTGTTTTTCACGAGAGCAACCCAGGTATATTTACTAAACATGTTGGTGACCGTTAGCATTTATGTAAAACGATCGTTGTTCGCACATTAATATTTCATGTCGGCGATAACAGCAGACCATATGTCGTATATTATAATGCAATGATTCTTGCGACGTAAAAAGTGTTCACGAGTAGGTTTGTGAAGTTCTGCTAACAGCTTTGACACATCAGTTACACCAGCACCTAGCGACCTATTTTCTTGCGTCATGCCAATATCGAGTTTATGTTCAGTTCCTGCGATTCCAAGTATCAAGGCTCTGTTCACTCACATCACTACCGGCAAACCTCAAAAACACAGATTTTGTCCAAACCGTAGGTCACCACAGCTCGTACCCAGATAGCAGTGTCTGTAGTACATTTTTTTTTTGGTAATACAGATGTTACAGCACTTACATTCTACTCAATGAATAGAAAATACAAGTCCAGTATTTTGTTATAAGAAATTGGTTTTATTGTACACGAGGTTGGTAACTGGAAATAAATGAACCTGTATTCCTTTATTAGTACCTAGATGTTATCGATATCTTCATTTTATCATTGGTCATTAAATTTTGGGAAAACACAACTTCTTAGGATATCCACGGATGTATAGCATCTATATTCGTTCAATCTACGTCTGAAGTATAACGACAGCTTAATTGCAAATAATATGGAAAGATTTACATAATCATCTGGCATTTTTACTGAAGATGTAGGTCACAAATAATATGGCAATATATAATT